CCTGTCTATCACGCCCTCGTCGATAAATCAAAATGTCATCAGCAAATGACAAAGTCCTTCCCTTTCCATTCAACTGCTGCTCAGTGATCATCACCGTATAAACGTTGAATAAGACTGGTGATAGCGGTGATCCCTGTGGCAAGCCTGAACATATCGTTTGCGGTTCTGAGGACCAGCTACCACATCTTAGTACAATCTTTCTCTGGAACAGGACCGCAGCAATCCAGCGGATCAGAATAGGATTAACTTCTAGTTTAAGCAGTAATTGCATTAAATAATAGTATGGTACTTTATTGTAGGCATCTTCTAAGTCCAACACTGCCGCACATGTCTCTTCTTTAATCTGAAATCCCTCGTACACATCGTAGGCGAAAACTGCAGCATTGAACCATGTCTCTTTATTTAACCTGTACCCTCCAAGTGTTGGTGGGAACTTATCATGTAGTTCCAAGTAGGTGGTCAATCTTTGTGCGACAATTTTTTCCAAAAGTTTGCCAACAGTATTCTGCATCGAGATGATTCTGTAGCCGCAGATCTTCGAGTGGTCTTTATTAGGCTTTGGTAGTGGGAACAAATAACTATGGAGCCATTCCTCTTGTATCTGGCCACTCTGGATGCTGATATTGAATTCCTTTGCCACGCTTTTCAAATCAGCATTCCACATCATCAGCATGTCGTTGTATCGGATGCCGTCAGGGCCTGGAGCAGTGCTGCGCGATTTCTTGAGGCAAGTTCTTAAGGTATCTGCAGTGATTGTGAGATCAGTGCCTAGCACAGTGTTCTCGCACAGCATCGACAGTTTCATCTTAACCCCTATTCTTGTAGCTTCGTCTTTTTGGTCAGTTTGCTCCAAGTAGCGCGCCAGAAGGGTTTTTCCTTTATCAGCATCAGTTCTCTGCCATATCAGGTCTGTACCCTGAAAATCAGGGATACCCCTTGGTCGTGCGGCGCCGTGCATGCTCCGTTGAAGGCGCCAGAATGTCACAAGAGATCCCTCGGAGCAAACGCTCTTGCAGAATTCGTTCCATTTCGCTGTCTTTGCTTCATTCGCAATTAACTTGAAAGCCACTGTCTGCTTGTTGACCTCATCTTTCAGACTGATCAGGCGTTCAGAAAGTGACGGATCAATTTTCCTTGCCTTTTGCCATGCCTTGACAGCTTTCCTTTTTTTCTAGCCACGCTATGTTAACTACTTCATTCCACCATGATGGCTGGGCCCATCTCTCCCGCCGTCTGCGATCTGCTCTTGTTTTACGTCGTCGGACTTTGCTAATGGCATCTTGCCCTGTACGGTCATATATAAAAGCAGGCACATTGATTACATGACCTTTGTTGTTGCTCTTCTCTACCAGGACGACGCAAGGAAATTGATCACTGTAGTGGTATCCCAGTGTGCTCCACCTGCATCCTGATGCAATGGAGGGAGACACTAGGGCCAGGTCAATTACGCTGTCAGAATCCCCTTGTCGTGTTGCCATTCGGGTAACCTTTCCGTCGTTCAAGCATACTAGATTGGCAGACACTAGGGCATCCTCCAGGTCTTCCCCCTGTTTATTAGTGATCACATTGCCCCACTGGTGTCCTCTGGCGTTGAAATCTCCGCAGTAAAGGACTTTCTTTTCCTCCGTCTGGAGCAAACTCTGCCATTTCGCTGTATCCACCTTTCCATTGCAGGCGTACACATTGACAATCACAAACTGGGCCGGGCCCATCACTCTGACTGCGTGAACTTATAAATCGTCATCATTCCACTTAGGCATGTCCACCTCAGACACCGGTATGTGGTCACGAACAAGAATGAGCTGTCCGAGGTGCCGTCTATTGTAGAAGGATTGGAAGCCCGCAATTTTTACGATCTCGTCACCGAGGTGTGTTTCCTGTAGGACAACAATGTCGTTGCTGTAGAGGAGCTTCTCAAAAATGGGTCGGCGTTGACTGAACGAAGCGCAGTTCCAGTAGAGAACACGAACATACTGAATCTCTCACATTTCAGTCGCTTTCTGCAGGCGCCACCGTGCTTGCCTGTTCGCGTTCTCCTTGTCCGTCTAGGGTTGTTTTGAATTGGTAAATAGTCGCCATCGGACGTCGAATACACCCTGAGGGAAGTCTAAACTCACGTGCATGTACTCCATTGCACGGTTCAGACCCCATTCCGATGAAACTTTCACATTATACGTGAGCGAAAATAGCTAATTTGCGCCATTCGCCTCCACGGACGAAAAAGCGTACCGCCATTGTGGCTGTTTACACCGGAAGTATGCAAGTTTGTATGTATTCAGGTATGCATGTGTGTAGGTATGTATGTGGGTATCTGTATGAGTGATTATATATGCGTGAATGCATGCATGTGTGTGTAATGTATGTGGGTGTATGTGTGCATGCACGTATGTATGTATGTATCTATGTGTGTATGTATGCATGTTGGTGGATGTATGTATGCTCATGTAGCCGTGTAAGAATGTGTTTGTATGTATGTGTATTTAGGTATGTTTGCAAGTAAGTATGTACGTGTGTAAAGATGTGAGTGTATGTATAGATGTGTGTATGTATGTATGCATGTATGTGTGTATATGTATGTATACACATATATGGGTGTACACGCATGTAAGTGCATATGTGTGGTTGTGGATGTCTGAATATGTTATTGTATGTGTGTGTATGCATGCGTGCATGTGTAGGTGTAAATGTATGGAATGTGTGTGTGCATGTATGTCTATGTATGTATGTGTGTGTTTTATGTTGTGCATGTATGTCTATGTATATTTATTTGTGTCTTATGTTTGTGTTTGTATGTAGGTGCGTGTATGTATGTATTACATATGTCTGTATATGAGTGTGCATGTATGTGGATGTATGTAAACGTGTGTGTGTGTGGTTGAGTGTGCAAGATTGTGTACACATGATGTGTGCATGCATCATTCCATAATGCATATTTCTTTATTAAATCCATAAAATGCATTAGTGATAACAGGCATTGGGACTCTGAAAAATGAGTGCTTAGAAGGGCCAAATGTCAAACTGGCCTGCGTGCCCAATTTGTAACCCTTTGAAAATAAAGTTTGTTTGCTCGTTCGTTCGTTCATTCGTTTTTCTTCTTTTACTTCTTCTTTTTCTTCTTCTTCTTCGTCTTCTTTTTCTTCTTCTTCTTCTTCTTCTTCTTCTTCTTCTTCTTCTTCTTCTTCTTCTTCTTCTTCTTCTTCTTCTTCTTCTTCTTCTTCTTCTTCTTCTTCTTCTTCTTCTTCTTCTTCTTCTTCTTCTTCTTCTTCTCTTTCTCCTTCTTTTCTTTTTTCTTCTTCTTCTTCTTCTTCTTCTTCTTCTTCTTCTTCTTCTTCTTCTTCTTCTTCTTCTTCTTCTTCTTCTTCTTCTTCTTCTTCTTCTTCTTCTTCTTCTTCTTCTTCTTCTTCTTCTTCTTCTTCTTCTTCTTCTTCTTCTTCTTCTTCTTCTTCTTCTTCTTCTTCTTCTTCTTCTTCTTCTTCTTCTTCTTCTTCTTCTTCTTCTTCTTTTTCTTCTTCTTCTTCTTCTTCTTTATCTTTTTCTTCTTCTTCTTTATCTTTTTCTTTTTCTTCTTCTTCTTTTCTTCTTCTTCTTCTTCTTCTTCTTCTTCTTCTTCTTCTTCTTCTTCTTCTTCTTCTTCTTCTTCTTCTTCTTCTTCTTCTTCTTCTTCTTCTTCTTCTTCTTCTTCTTCTTCTTCTTCTTCTTCTTCTTCTTCTTCTTCTTCTTCTTCTTCTTCTTCTTCTTCTTCTTCTTCTTCTTCTTCTTCTTCTTCTTCTTCTTCTTCTTCTTCTTCTTCTTCTTCTTCTTCTTCTTCTTCTTCTTCTTCTTCTTCTTCATCACCCATGCTTTTGTTTTTGACTTCATTTCCATAATATGCATATCATTACATGAATATAACATGCTTTATTGATGAAATACAACTGCTGTGTGAAAGATGGAAGTTTGGAAGGGCCGAATGTAAGACAGGCCTGCGTGCCTAATTTGTAACCCTTTGAAAATCAAGTTCGTTCGTTCATTCGTTCTTCTTCTTCTTCTTCTTCTTCTTCTTCTTTTTCTTCTTCTTCTTCTTCTTCTTCTTCTTCTTCTTCTTCTTCTTCTTTTGCTGCTGCTGCTGCTTCTTTCTCGTCCTCTTCCGCCCTTGGGCCTCACTGCTCCTCTGCCACCTTTATTTATTCTGTGATTGACTCATTATGACGTTGATGATGATAATAATAATAATAATTAGAAGAAGAAAAAAGAACGAGAAGGAAGTATATGTGTAAAAGAAGAAGAGAAGGAGGAGTGATGAAGGAAGACATGTGAAGAAGAAGGAGGAGGATATATCATCTGTTACTGTCTCAAAATAATAAGAAAAAGAAACTAAAGGGAAAAGAAGAAGGAATAGGAAAATGTAGAGAAGAAGAAAAATTAAATAATGATGATGAAATTATTATTAATAATAGCAGTAGCAGCAGTAGAAGTAGTAGCAGTAGCAGCAGTAGTAGCACGAGAAGCAGCAGCAGTAGTAGTAGTAAAAGTAGTAGCAGCAGTAGTAGCCGCAGTAGTAGTAGTAACAGCAGCATTAGTAGTAGCAGTAGCAGCAGCAGTAGTAGTAGCAGCAGCAGCAGTAGTAGCAGTAGTAGCAGCAGTCGTAGTAGTAGTAGTAGTAGTAGTAGTAGTAGTAGTAGTAGTAGTAGTAGAAGTAGTAGTAGTAGTAGTAGTAGTAGTAGTAGTAGTAGAAGTAGTAGTAGTAGTAGTATTAGTACTAGTAGTAGTATTAGTAGTAGTAGAAGTAGTGGTGGTAGTAGTAGTAGTAGTAGTAGTAGTAGTAGTAGTAGTAGTAGTAGTAGTAGTAGTAGTAGTAGTAGTAGTAGTAGTAGTAGTAGTAGTAGTAGTAGTAGTAGTAGTAGTAGTAGTAGTAGTAGTAGTAGTAGTAGTAGTAGTAGTAGCAGCAGCAGTAGCACTAGTAGCAGCAGCAGCAGTCTATAATTGCTGTAACTTTAAGCAAACAAAAACAGAATATGTACTCAAGAGTTCCAATTTTCATTTTGAAGCTGTAGGCGATAACTCCGGACAGAAACATTTGGACCCCGGCAAAGATGAGACAACTTGCGATACCACCGTATTTGTGACTGGCCAGATGATAAATTTCACAAAAATCATAGAGCTTAAACTATAAGATAGACTGCACATTGTATTATACACGCCATACATTTATAGTCATACTTGTTATTTTCAATATTGTACATTATAGAACAGTAGAACTCAGAATACCGGTGGTGATTGCTAGCACGTTTCGAAATTCTGGGTTAAAGTTTCATCGTCGTTGCTAAAGTCTTTAGGGAAGCATAGGAGTCAGTACATGGTGATGACGTCTGTGACTAGCAAAACTCGCGCGCATTAGAAGGTCTTGCGCAATAATGCTCTCCTCATTCTTCTATAAAACCAAAAGTCTACAGCTTCCATATAATTTTCACTAATTCAAACACAATATAGTGCTTCACAGAGAGCCCTGTCACTTAGACACAAGATGGTGCTACACAGAGAGTCCTGTCACTTAGACACAAGATGGTGCTACACAGAGAGTCCTGTCACTTAGACACAAGATGGTGCTACACAGAGAGTCCTGTCACTTAGGTACATGATGGTGCTACACAGAGAGTCCTGTCACTTAGATACATGATGGTGCTACACAGAGAGCCCTATCACTTAGATACATGATGGTGCTACATAGAGAGTCCTGTCACTTAGATACATGATGGTGCTCCACAGAGAGTCCTGTCACTTGGACACATGATGGTGCTACACAGAGAGTCCTGTCACTTAGATACATGATGGTGCTACACGGAGAGTCCTGTCACTTAGATACATGATGGTGCTACACAGAGAGTCCTGTCACTTAGACACAAGATGGTGCTCCACAGAGAGTCCTGTCAATTAGACACAAGATGGTGCTCCACAGAGAGTCCTGTCACTTAGATACATGATGGTGCTCCACAGAGAGTCCTGTCACTTAGACACAAGATGGTGCTACACAGAGAGCCCTGTCACTTAGACACAAGATGGTGCTACACAGAGAGTCCTTGTCACTTAGACACAAGATGGTGCTCCACAGAGAGTCCTGTCAATTAGATACATGATGGTGCTACACAGAGAGTCCTGTCATTTAGATACATGATGGTGCTACACAGAGAGTCCTGTCACTTAGATACATGATGGTGCTACACAGAGAGTCCTGTCACTTAGATACATGATGGTGCTACACAGAGAGTCCTGTCACTTAGATACATGATGGTGCTACACAGAGAGTCCTGTCACTTGGACACAAGATGGTGCTACACAGAGAGCCCGGTCACTTACACACAAGATAGTGTTCCACAGAGAGTCCTGTCACTTAGACACAAGATGGTGCTACACAGAGAGTCCTGTCACTTAGACACAAGATGGTGCTCCACAGAGAGTCCTGTCACTTAGACACAAGATGGTGCTACACAGAGTCCTGTCACTTAGACACAAGATGGTGCTACACATAGAGTCCTGTCACTTAGACACAAGATGGTGCTACACAGAGAGTCCTGTCACTTAGACACTAGATGGTGCTCCACAGAGAGTCTCGTAACTTAGACACTAGATGGTGCTCCACAGAAAGTCCTGTCACTTAGACACAAGATAGTGTTCCACAGAGAGCCCTGTCACTTAGACACAAGACAGTGATCCCCAAAGAGTACTGTCACTTAAACACAAGATGGTGCTCCACATAGAGTCCTGTCACTTAGACACAAGAAAGTACTCTACAAAGAGTCATGTCACTTAGACACAAGATAATGTTTCACAGAGAGTCCTGTCACTTAGACACAAGATGGTCTTCCACAGAGAGCCCTGTCAATTAGACACAAGATAGCGCTCTACAAAGAGTCATGTCACTTAAACACAAGATAGTGTTCCACAAAGAGCCCTGTCACTTTGACACAATATAATGCTCCATAGAGAGCCCTGTCACTTAGACACAAGATTGTGCTCCACAGAGAGTTCTGTCACATAGACACACGATGGTGCTCCACAGAGAGTCCTGTCACTTAGACACAAGATAGTGTTCCACAGAGAGCACTGTCACTTAGACACAAGATGGTGTTCCACAGAGAGCCCTGTCACTTAGACACAAGATAGTGTTCCACAGAGAGCGCTGTCACATAGACACGAGATAGTTCTCACAGAGAGCCCTGTCACTTAGACACTAAATGGTGCTCCACAGCGAGCCCTGTCACTTAGATACAAGATAGTGTTCCATAAACTGTCCTGTCTGTTAGACACAAAATAGTGCTCCACAAACAGTCCTGTCACTTGGACACAAAATAGTGTTCCACAGAGAGCTCTGTCACTTAGACACAAGATAGTGCTCCACAGAGAGTCCTGTCAGTTAGACACAAGATAGTGTTCCATAGAAAGCCCTGTCACTTAGACACAAGATAGTGTTCCACAAACAGCCCTGTCACTTAGACACAAGTTAGTGTTCCACAAAGAGCCCTGTCACTTTGACACAAGATAGTGCTCCACAAAGAGCATTGTCACTTAGAAACCAGATAGTGTTCCACAGAGAGCCCTGTCAGTTAGACACAGGATAGTGCTCCACCGAGAGTCTTGTCACTTAAACACAAGATAGTGCTCCACAAACAGTCCTGTCACTTCGACACAAGATAGTGTTCCACAGATAGTCCTGTCACTTCGACACAAGATAGTGCTCCACAGATAGTCCTGTCACTTAGACACTAGATGGTGATCCACAGCGAGCTCTGTCACTTAGACACAAGATAATTGTCCACAAAGAGTCCTGTCACTTAGACACAAGATAGTGCTCCACAGATAGTCCTGTCACTTAGACACTAGATGGTGCTCCACAGCGAGCTCTGTCACTTAGACACAAGATAATTGTCCACAAAGAGCCCTGTCACTTAGACACTAGATGGTGCTCCACAGCGAGCATTGTCACTTAGACACTAGATGGTGCTCCACAGAGAGCCCTGCCACTTAGACACAAGATAGTGTTCCACATTGAGCCCTGTTACTTGGACACAAGATAATGCTCACAGAGAGCCCTGTCACTTAGACACAAGATAGTGCTCCACAGAGAGCCCTGTCACTTAGACACAAGATAGTGTTCCACAGAGAGCCCTGTCACTTAGACTTTAGATAGTGCTAACAGAGAGCCCTGTCACTTAGACACAAGAAAGTTTTCCACAGAGAGCCCTGTCACTTAGACACAAGATGGTGCTCCACAGAGAGCCCTGTCACTTAGACACAAGATGGTGCTCCAGAGAGAGCCCTGTCACTTAGACACAAGATGGTGCTCCAGAGAGAGCCCTGTCACTTAGACACAAGATGGTGCTACACAGAGAGTCCTGTCACTTAGATACATGATGGTGCTACACAGAGAGTCCTGTCACTTAGACACAAGATAGTGCTCACAGAGAGTCCTGTCACTTAGACACAAGATAGTGCTCCAGAGAGAGCCCTGTCACTTAGACACAAGATGGTGCTCCACAGAGAGCCCTGTCACTTAGACACAAGATAATTGTCCACAAAGAGTCCTGTCACTTAGATACATGATGGTGCTACACAGAGAGTCCTGTCACTTAGACACAAGATAGTGCTCACAGACAGCCCTGTCACTTAGACACAAGATAGTGCTCCAGAGAGAGCCCTGTCACTTAGACACAAGATGGTGCTCCACAGCGAGCCCTGTCACTTAGACACAAGATAGTGATCCACAGTGAGCCCTGTCACTTAGACACAAGATAGTGCTCACAGAGAGCCCTGTCAGACACAAGATAGTGCTCCACAGAGAGCCCTGTCACTTAGACACAAGAAAGTTTTCCACACAGAGCCCTGTCACTTAGACACAAGGTAGTGCTCCACAGAGAGCCCTGTCACTTAGACACAAGATAGTGCTCACAGAGAGCCCTTTCACTTAGACACAAGATAATGCTCACAGAGAGCCCTGTCACTTAGACACAAGATAGTGCTCGACAGAGAGCCCTGTCAATTAGACACAAGAAAGTTTTCCACACAGAGCCCTGTCACTTAGACACAAGATAGTGCTCCACAGAGAGCCCTGTCACTTAGACACAAGATAGTGCTCCACAGAGAGCCCTGTCACTTAGACACAAGATAGAGCTCCACAGAGAGCCCTGTCACTTAGACACAAGATAGTGCTCCACAGAGAGCCCTGTCACTTAGACACAAGATAGTGCTCACAGAGAGCCTTGTCACTTAGACACAAGATAGTGTTCCACAGAGAGCCCTGTCACTTAGATACAACGGAAGCAGAGCTAAAGATGGCCGCCATCCACAGACAGCACCCCAAATATGAGCATTCCACTTGTATAAAATGTTGAATTAATAATCGAGATTGCAACACTTGGAACATACCCATAGCGTTCTGTCCCCCATCTTTAGCAGCTGCTAGATATCGTCCTCTTCTCTGCCTAGCCATAATTCGTCCCTTTTTAGTCTCTTAGTCTTGTTTTTTTTTTTTTTTTTTTCTAAAAAGCATGCAATGTCAATCACCCAAGCATTCTTCTTTGTCCACACATCATGTCACAGCAAACGACAAAGTCCTGCCGCTTCCGCGCAAACTGCTGGTCAGTTATCGGCACCGCATTTATTAATAGAATCAAAGAGTGGAGAACCTTGAGTCGATCCTAGATAAATTAACTGCCTCAACTGAGTACCATCCAACTCTGGGTAGTGCCGCGGCTACCTAGCGAATGATGAAGAAGTTTGTGCAGCAAGTATTCAAGATCCCAGACCCCAGACAGCCGGTGCTAACTTATGATGGTTATATTTAGGCGACATACACTAGTTATAAACAGTGTCATTTCGAGGTTAATTATCTTTCTTAGAGGAAATTTTTATTTTTCGGTTTGAACAGTTAATCTAGTAATATCTACAGTGGTCTCTACATCCTCCTCTATACTTCAGGTCATACCTTAGATGTCTTTAGCTCAACTGTCTATACCTCAGTTCATACCTCACCTGTCTATACCACAACTGTCTATACCTCAGTTCATACCTCACCTGTCTTTACCTTGACTGTTTATACCTCAGTTCACACCTCACCTGTCTATACCTCAGT